ATTAGCACTATCAGATCCTGAAATCAGAGCTGGACAATGCAAGTTTGGTGTTGTATGGTAGTGTTCTATTTATGCTCTGCTAAGCTTCTTTCAGACCACATTGTTACAATGATACAAGAGTTTATTGTGCAAACATTGCAAGTAGAAACAGTGACACTATTCTATAAACTATATAAACAGTCAGGATCACAACACAAAGTATCAATACAAAATATTACATTAGGACCATGGGTTATCTATAATAAGTACTTTTTTTATATTTTTTGTATTTTTATATTACCTGGTTCATTATTTGAAAAAAGTAGACTAATATTTCTGCGATGTTAAGGCTTTCAAAATAATTATTTTAAGGAAAGAGAATTAAGTGAGTGAGTGAGTTTGGATTTACGCCGCTTTTAGCAATATTCCACCAATATCACGGCGGGGGACACCAGAAATGGGCTTCACATATTGTACCCATGTCGGGAATCGAACCCGGGTGTTCGGCGTGACGAGCGAACGCTTTAACCACTAGGCTACCCGACCGCGCCGAAAGAGAATTAAACAGGGAGTGCCTTACATCTGCAGATGGTGTTCTTCATCTTCAAGAACTGAGCAGTGGTCACAGAGACATTCTACTAAAGGTGTAGGTGGTCTTGTTCTTCTACCCAGTTCAGCGTTCGCTCGTCACGCCGAAGACCCAGGTTCGATTCCCGACATGGGTACAATGTGTGAAGCCCATTTCTGGTGTCCCCCGCCGTGATATTGCTGGAATATTGCTAAAAGCAGCGTAAAACCATACTCACTCACTCACTCTACCCAGTTCAACTTTTAGCCTGTGATCACTCAGCCCTAGCTTGGCAAAGTGGGTATACACGGTTTTTATCTCACAGTGTTCTAAATAGGGTTCAGGTTTAATTTCTGACTTAAATTTTCTATATGTTCTAAGTTTGTTTCTTGAATTTAATTGATTTGGTTACATGTTGGGATGTATTGTTAACCAAGTTTAGATATCAACTAATACAGATATTTGTCAACCATATTTAGTTCAAATATATGTTGAATACAGTATACATACTTAGTGACAAAAGAAACACGAATACCATACATGTTGGTTAATATGAGAAGAAATACTCATATTTCAAAGATATTAGATTGGTTCGATTCACAAACGAACATACTGTTATGTTGTGTGAACCGACGCTCATGAACACTCGTGTAAAGTTTGTAAATTACGTGCAGCATATCATGATAAGAATAAAGACACTCTGTGGTAACACTTGCCTGGTTGTTAGGTTTGTCATTAAGTGGTACACATTGGTACACATTGGAAACACATCGTAACATACATACTTCTCTTTTTATCATCCAAAACTGGCTCCCACAGGAGATATCGCTTGAATGAGATCAAGCGATATTTACACTGTAGATATCGCTGCAATGAAATTACATCACAATGCTTTGCAGGCCATTGTGACGCCACTGGTTACCATGACATCACAATCAAATGACATCACTAATGGCTCTGCTACTGAAGCTGTTAGCAGTACTTTTTTACACTGAAGTCAGTGCTAATTATAATTACTGTCAACAAATTGAAAAAGCTGGAAGAATGATGTTGGATGATAAATAAAATCTCCCCCTTGTGTCTTTTGATATCAAAAGACACTCGGGTGAGATTCTCAATGTTTCCATGGTTCGCATGTCTTTTGGCGGTGAGTATATTATTCTAAAATAAAGTATACTTTTCATTCATTTATTTTCTCGAAAAAAAACTAACTGTATTTGTTATAATAAGCATCCTGGGTGTCTACACAAACAACAACAATTTCAATTTGTGTTCAGACATTATGTTGTAGTGAACAAACAAGTTCACACATCGGTGGAACTAAAACGTTTTTGATAATGGTAACTTGGCAATCATACACACTTCTGTGCTGGTGTTTTCTGTAAAAAAACGTGTATTGTACACAAGGCCTTATGAACTGTCAAAATTTTTTATTCTTATATGTTGTTATTATATCTTTTCTTTGTGTTTACAAGAATGCATGGGTGTATGTCTGTAAATGTGTATGTATGAATCATAATGTTTTGTCATTTAAATATTGTACTGTTTTGTAATGGAATGATTTTTGCAATAAATGTTATCTTATCTTATCTATAGAAGAGCTGATAAAGGTTACAGATAGGTCCAGAAGTTGGTCAGGGGGCAGTCATAAAAAGAGGACGTTTGTTGTATGTATAAATGGGATGTATTAATCCAGTGTGATAAATATCAAATTGCATCAATATAACATATAAATTTCATTCTTTAGTTCTTGAGATGATGGTTCGTTAAAAAAAAAAACACATCGCCAGAGTGATATTTTTCAACCTTTGAAAACAGTAAATCCATACAGTAAAAATGTATCATATCAAGGAAAATCTGCATCACCTCTCCAGCAATATAATCATAGCAATATTTGTATTTGTATGGTGTATGTCAATGTTTTTAATTAGTCATGTTCATGTTTTATTCTTTTTGTCGTTACAGTTAATGCACCTCCATGAAACTTTAAATACTTTAATACTTCAATACTTTTCAAATTTTAATATTTTTGTCACCATTTAATTCTATTATACTTGAGAAAAATTAATTTAATATTAAAAGTCCACTGTGGTATGTAGACATGTTTAACAGACCATTTCATCTTTGGCCTTGACCTCAGCCTTGAGGACAAGCATGAAACTGACCTGTAATACGAGACAGGCATCTTTAACTGAGATATACAACTGAAATAAACACCAGAAAGAAACACATGCCTCAGGGACCAGTATTCATTTCTTTGTTTATTTCGTGGTGGTTGTATATTTATTTTTAACATTACAGCCTATTCATGTTCAAGGTTTTATTTAACCCATTTCTCCTTTAGTATTTTCAAGATTCTAATTGAATTTTTTTTAAATATGCCGATTTGTTATTTATCTTACCCATTTATTTGGTTACATACACTATAACGAGAAATATATTTTACATGCATCTGTTGACATATTTATTAAAAACTTTCAGAATTTTGGTAAATGTGCCTATTTTCAGTTTGAAATGTTTCACAGTTGATAAGTTGTTGATATTGACAAATCAAACGCAATAGTCACTCTACAAGAGGCAGGCTTAAAGTGACAGTTGGCTCGCATTAATTATATAGCATGTTATTCAAAAGGTAAAATAATGTTCAAATCAGCCATTATTTATCTCCGGGTAAGGATGCTAGAGTTATGTCCCTTTAGGTGCTCTCTCATCTCAACGATGAACTCATGTAAATGAGGTTTAGTTGTTCTTGGAATCACTCCACCAAGTATGCACAGGATTAGTTAATGCATGTATTAGAGGCAAGCTAAGATCTGATGTAATGTGAACAGGAATATATGAAACTATAATGATTTTTAATGAATAATTGTTTTATTTATGTTATTATTTCTCCTATAAGATGTTATGTGATTTCAAGATAAAAAATTTGGTTTAGCCGGATACACAATTCAATAAGGATTTTACAGCCCCTTCCCGGAGTACAGTTCATTTTATTCTCTCTGTCTTTTATCCTGAACTTTATCTGTGTAAATGAGTTGGGATTAAAGCTGCTTGGAACATTGGTACGATATGGTGCCGACAAACCAGGATCATGGTCAGAGAGGATGTGAAATTTTGGAATTCAATTGGTTTTCCATTTATGGGAAGATCAACTAACTAAACCTGACAGAGGCAGATCCAGCATTTAATAGTGAGTGAGTATGGTTTTTACGCTCCTTTTAGCAATATTCCAGCAATATCACGGCGGGGGACACCAGAAATGGATTTCACACATGTCGGGAATCGAACCCGGGTCTTCGGCGTGACGAGCGAACACTTTAACCATTAGGCTACCCGACCACCCATTCGAAACATTTAATAATAGGGGTGTACAATATACAGAAGTCACAATGTGAACAAAAACACATGTGAGGTGTTTAAAAAAGAGACCTCATGATTTACCATCATCAAAAGATAGATTAATTGTAAATAATTTTGCTTCAAACTGGTTCATGAAATGTAGCTTGAACATAAAAGAACACGATTTGCATGTTATTTCTTTCCTTTTTTTCATGTCAGGACACCTCTATGGTTTAGTTTGATCCCCTGGTCACATGAAACCAAAATATGTTATGCCGCTCAACGTGAAGTGCCAAAAGTCAACAATGGCCGTTTCTTGTAGTTGTGTGCCGAGAAGTTTGGCCGAAACATTTTTAACTCGCAATATTTTCTTTTTGAGGTAAATAAACTACTGAAAGTTTTTATATTGAGCAAGCTGAGCAATTATACGCGTCATACGTAATTTAAATGTTACGCAAAGCCTTCTTGGTAAATAGATATGGCGAGTTTTATTTTGGGGTGTCGTTATGCTATTCGCCTGACGAATGGGTTCGACATCAGATGCACGGGAAGTGACACCTCTGTCAAATGTGTTCGACGTTAGTGTGCAAAGTGTTAAAATACGGTAATTGTTGTTTGGCAACGTTGTTTGTTGTTGTTTTGGGATGAAACCTGGAGTATAAATGTGTCTGAATTGTGTCCATGTTAAATTGACGCATGGTATCTCAGTGGGCAAGTACTATAAAACTGGCACAAGTAGCCACACACATGTGCATGCATATATAAATGCAATAATCTTGATGGTGGTATTAAACCGCATTTCATCTACCCTCACCTTTACATAATGCAAGTTAAGATTTCCTGATATTATCCTTGTTTGGCTGGCTGTTCTGAATGTAGGTTCAAGACAACTTTTCACAAAGACATCAACCATGACAAACAAATACCGTTGGTGTAGGTGTGAATAAAAAAATGCAAATATGTTTGGTTTGTATGTTTGATGAAAACACAGAGGCTCAAAAACAATGACATGAGTTTTTCTCCCACGTTCAAACCTGCCCTGAAGAACTGTTACCATGGTAACAAGCTAATGTCACTTTTAAGAATAAAGGACCAAAGATGGTGCTATACTTACTGACTGCCTCAATGACATCTGCCAGCAACACCCCATCCGTGATGTCTTGCTGCAGATCGGCAATAAACCGTTTATTGCGAGCCTTCTCCAAATAATGGTTGGCCCAATCTGTATAGATCTGGAACAAACAAACATGAACATTTTGACTGATGTAGACAACAACAGAAGTAAACAATTGTAGTATCTTGTATAACATGACACATAAATAATGATGTATTACATTACAATCAGGGAGATAACAGTTAGCCCTTTAGAAATCACCTCTCGACCAGAGACAAAGTATTGACAGCATTATCATTGTATCATATATGTCCGCAGATAAGCCGAATTTTTGAGAACCAGAAAAACGATTCTGTAGAAAGGGGTCGGCCTTTCCATGGGATACACTTTCATGATAGTATTTTTCAGATCATGATCTGTCAGAAACATTGCCTGAATGACGGTCTGATAGATGAAAACTTCACAAAAGTTTCGAAGTTGCCACCAAGACAACCATTATTGTTATAAATTAGCAATAAAGTTATTATCATACACCAATGTTGTATGTCAAAAATTGTATGCATGTTACTATTTCAAATCATAAGTTTTCAATTGAATGTTCAAGGTTTATCGTTCTTCATAAACTCCATGATCTTTACATATAATAATATAACCCACAGATTATAATTGCCAATAGCTATTATGTACATTTTGCAAAGTTCATCAACCTTTATTGAAAGAGGCAAATACACAACTGAAAAGGCAAGTTATTCAGTTCCCAGCATTTGGACACACCTCCAGTCAACACAGATGACCTCCTGATCACCATTCTTTTCAAGCTGGATGTCGCACAGGTGAAAACCCCGATATGACTGATTTTTATTTATTTATTTTATAGTGAAACATTTTGTCAATCGGTTGGCTTTTAAAAAAAAAAAATGTCCATAACCATATGTCACACATTGATTACAAATGCAAGACTATACAATGTAAGAGGTGACTAACGTAATCAGGTGGTCAGTCTCGCTGACATGGTTGATGCATGTCATTGTATCCTAATTGTGTGGACCGATGCTCATGATGTCAGTCACTGACTCCATTATTTACAGACCGCCGTCATATAGCTGGAATATTGCTGAGTGCAGCTTAAAACAACAAATAAACAAACTCACCAACAAACAAACAAAACTTTCATGAAAGTGTTGGTTGACAATCTTTGCAATTCTGATTATGTTATATGTCTTATATAAGTCATAAATGGCATTGTGATGAAATTGATAAAACTAAAACTTTGGTCATATGCCTTTGAAATATGTGTACAAAGAAGATTTACTGCAACATAATGTTGTTTGTTTGTTGTTCAACATCACACACAGCAAAATTCAAGATATATAAGGGCAGTCTGAATTGAGTCTGAACCAGACACTCTTTATTTATTTGCCAATCGAATGCACGCATTATATTTACATAAATTCTGCAGCAGTGAAAACGGTAAAGCTTAGATTGTCACCTTAAACAGCATTTTGAGGATGTTTTAAAAGAAATTGGTTATTATTGGTTTATAAATGCCAGTAGACTCCACCCATGGGATAAAAAATAGACTGAATACCCATAGAAAACCATAAACATCGAATATGAAAAACATGTGTGTAAATACTAAATGGCTCAGAAAATTATCTCGATCCCTGGAACCATGGCAATGATGACAATTCCTCATTATTAAGAATTCTTTAAAAAATAGAAACAAAATCTCCCTATCTCACATTCAAATACCAACATATAATGTGTCTGTTTTATTGTTCTGTATCTCTTATAATATGTGTATACTATCAAAACTTGTCAATTGCATGTACATTTCACTCAGTCTGTTGGGTATATCATATGATTTATGTCACTCATCTGTCAGTGTAACACATGTTGTACAGTATAAAATGGCTCTTTACTGACGTAAGCAGAGATAATGAAATCTTTATCATATTTTTACCTTTTGTTAATGTTCATTTTTTAAAAGTATTAACACAAAAATGACATTAACTTGCTGACTTATCTACAAGCTTATTCATGTACATTTTATTCCAACAAAAACTTAGGCTGTTTTTGAACGTCAATATCTGATCTATCATGCAGTTTGTGCAGATTAATTGAGCATGCATTTCATGTGTGATATGCTTTTCTCACATTTCGTTTGATATGAGAAATAACTTTTCACACATTTAGAAAAAAAAACGTACAAAAATAACATTGTTTCAATCGTCTTTACCATCACCACAACCCAGTGCCACACACCAAGGGACACAACTCTTCCCAGCCTTAATAACTTTGAATCCTGGCCTCAGGTGATAATTGCAGATCCGACAGCAAATTGAAAGTGAAAAAGACTCGCACATTTGCGGGTTGGAAAATAATTGGCCCTGTCTGAGCTATGCATTAGACCTACATAAACAAGATACAAGTTTCATCAAAAAGCCACAACCTCATGAAATTAAACTTGTATTTTCATCTGCATATTCATGAGGCAGTTTCTGCCTTCCATCAAATATGTTACAAAACTGTGGTAATTGTACACTTCAGACTGAAATAAAGACATCGGATTGGTTGAGACGCTTTGAGTAGCAGAGGTTGCCAAACTGAAGAAAATTGGAGATTTACAAGGACAACATAGAAAGAGGATTCAATCGATTGTAGAAAAGTTATTACACTTCACTGCACGGACATTTGCAGAAAGTGCCGCTGAAAATTAGGAAAACCGTTATCACTACCCAGGGAATCATAACGTACATATCTTTAATCTCTACATAATTATTGAGAGCCCATCCAAGCAGTCAGAAATTTTGGCTAAATGTCTCAATAGAAATAAAAAGAATGAATTTGCTTGTAATATAATGAAAAATATTTCAGTCATAAAATGAAAATATTAAATGAACATATTAGTATCTATAGGCTGTCTACAAGGTCTAATCGTTTCTTGTGTGAATGAATATTGTTTTATGCCAGTCAGCAATAATCCAGCTTTATCATGGTGACCTGAATTTAAAGGAGTCTAGTCCAGGCAACCCAGTGATTGAAAGCATGAGCCTTGAACAATCCACACCATCAGTGCATGAGGACTCACAATCACCTCAGTCACAGATCAAATCATCCAATCCCTATCGAAGACAATTCTATCCAGCATGGGGCTGTCATCATTGAGGAGAATAAACTTATTTAAGTTACATTCATGAATAAAATTCAACCACTTCAACTAAGAATTTTCTGCTAATTATTAAAAAAAATCCAATCTAAGTCAAAATGCACAACACAAAAGTAACCCATTGTGCTAAATTGTATTAGAGTGACCTGAATATTATTAGAAATATTCACAGAGGTCCACAGCCCTTGGGACAATTTGCCTCTGCCAGGGACGATGTGTCGTAGATAGCGAAATGAACAACAGATGCTTGCCAGGAATCAATCACTACTGAGATATGAAACATTCCATACACAATGCAAGAAATCCATTTCTGCTACATCTGCTACAGATCCATTGTGTCATTGACCTCTTATGATACAAATGTCAATATCACCCAGCTGTGACACATGATGCAATTAACGCATGTCTATTTCTAAAGATGTGATATAGACAATGTCGATACAGTCAAGATGTCCACGTGTATGTTGTATACATTCGCTTGCATCAACATCATATACATCAACAGATAATGATTCAGATACTGGTGACATTCGAATACCAAATTTCACACAAGATTTAAGGAAGGAGGTGAGGTGAGGTGAAATGGGGTTTAACGTAGCGTCCAAGATTATTGCACTTATATAGTGACGCGCATGCATGTGTGTGTGTGTGTGTGTGTGTGTGTGTGTGTGTGGTTGCTTGTACTAGTCCGGACTGATGCCGATACTCACTGATACCCCACTCAGACACAGTTTACTGACTCCGAGCCGACCAGTCCTTGTTTTAGCCCCTTAATGCCGAGCGCCAGACAGGGTAACAACAAGTACAATCTTTTAACGTCTTTTGGTACGTCGCGGACGGGGATCGAAACCCGGACCTTCCGCTCTCTGGGCGGACGCTCTACCACTAGACCACAGAGGCGGTCTTTAAGGAAGCAAGTGGTTGGGGAAGAAAATAGACTGTGACATTTAAATGATGACAGGCAATCAAACAGAACTAGAATTCATCTACAGTGAAATCTTCTTAATATTAACATTATGTCCAGGTTAGAACGGGTCTTCAGCAACCCATGTTTGTCGTAAGAGGCGACTATCCAGATTGGGTGGTCAACCTCGCTGACTTGGTTGATGCATGTCACCGATCCCAATTGCGTAGATTGATGCCATGATGTCAATCACTGGATTGTCTGGTCCAGACATGACTATTTACAGACCATCGTCAGACAGTATATTGGTGAGTGCGGAGTAAACAACAAACAACCAAATGATTCAGATGGTACCATTTCCTAAGAAACCATTCTGAATGGCAGATTCTTGGATTAAGGAATCGCTGGTGCACAGTACATATTGTTTCCAGAAGTACATATACAGACGGTCCCAAAAAGATCTGGAAGTGAGGTGTCCATACTAACCAGGTTCCACTGTATCTGACCTCAGGGTTAAAGGTTAAGGACATAGCTTCCACTGAATGTGTGATCTACATTCAAACCTCAACATTGATCAATATTATCAAAAAATATTAACTGACGACACAATTAGCTGTTTCCTCTGCTGCCTTCCATCGGACATGACCAGCTGGCAAAATACATGTACACAGTAAGCTTGCACCAATATTTCAGCAGGTATCGTCGGTATCTTTGACAAACACTTTTCTCAGAACGCAGCCAGTGCCAAATGTTTATATTTTCCAAACATACATTTAAATTCAGAATATATGAATATAAAGAAGGTGCTTAACTTTTTTAAAGCTGTATTTATATATCCTGTCAGTTTAAAGTTGATCAACGCTGCACAAAGTCATTGAAATGCATGAAATTATGCATATGTTCTGAAACTGAAATCACCAACAACGCTCTGTTAACTCCAACAATTCAAACGTTATGATGCACTGTAATTCCCGAATGACTACCCAAAAATCCTCTTGCCTCGAATGTGTGAATACTCTGAGGCCAATTATCCCCCCTTTGGACC